CTTTGCAAACAAATGGAGCTTGATCCTTAAATTCCTACATTTCATAAAAAGACAATCTAGATTAAGATGCTTTAAATGATTTTGACTTTTTCCATGCAAATACAATGACGAATACAAGTTCATAGTTTAAATTGTCAGTGACTTGTTTGTAGGAAATTGCAGCTTTTCTTAAAGTTACTAAATTTATTCGCCAATTGATAAGCACTAATAAATGACCGAAACGTGGGATTATATTAGTTAACTTAATCCATTTTTCATTTGTGAGCTCTGACAAACCTAACTGTTATGTACTATATGGTATCAAGATGCATCTATATTTCCCAAAATTCTACTTTATTTCCCTTACTAATATATGAATAAAAGGTTTGTTGTTTGACAATAATACGAAAAAATGAAGATAAGCAGATAGACACTGCTTTCGTAACATGTATAAGTGAATAAATGACTAAAGTATAATCATAAAAGAAAGAACTTATCGACCGAACTCATGCTGAGAATATTTTTGTACCGGGTGCCCCTCAACTAATCCTTAAGAATGAGCGTTCGAATACTAGTTTTTTTAGCTTAAAGTTTTACACTACGAATTTTTTTAAATACTAGTGTACGCTGATAGGATCAGAATTCAACTACTGATATCTGGATATGAAAAATAAGCTCACTTGCCATTTTCAAAAATAATTAAACATACGACTAAGAAACTTTATCACACGCGTGATTTTAACGGTATTAAAACATGTAAAATTAGAAGGGAATAAATGTAAACAGATTATTTTTTCAGAAACAGTTATCTTCTGTACATACATATATATTCTATTAATTGAACTTATGTCACGAAAAACAAATAATTTTTGTGGTACATAAAAAGAAAAAATGACCGGATTTATTTGACATGTAGCTATGAACAGGTGTTTTTGAGAAAAATATGTGTAAAATCCCCAAGTCAAAGTTTGTTGATAGCAGTTTACTTATATCAGTTTTGCTCAGGAGATCCAATAAATGTATATATACATATATATACCGAAGAGTTGGAAACGATTGGTAAATTGGTGTCCAGTTGTTAACCACAGTATTGTCCAAAACGATAACTAGTCACCTCTTTCACATCAGTGGTGAATATTATTAACATATTCTGATTAAAGTGTATCTAACTAAAAATTTACATTCTGAAACTCAAGGTGTTAATGATAAATAACAGTGGGTTTTTCTGTAAGAATGTTTACTCAGTTAGCTAATCATCAATTACTGTAACAACAAATTTTATTTTCTATTATCATGTAAATATAGTGAACTATATAGCAACTTTGTATATTTTCTTCATTTGTGCCTACTTACTTTACATTCTCATGATACCTCAGAATAACTGACTACATGCGGTCGATCTGTGCTTATTAGTAACAATTACCTATAAAAATAAGTAGTGTTTGCGAATTTTATCAGACTTTTGTTGTCTCAGAGATCCGAAAATATATTATTTATTACCCCAGGTTAAAAGTTGGTTCTAAAGTATCATTATTACGATTGGCTCTGTCCAGGTAAAGCAACACATCCTCATGCCCTAAAATGATAACTATTCTTCATCGAATAATGATTTTTATATACTTCAACGGCTCATCTACTAAATAATAATAATAGCTGTAAAAATTACACTAGTCGATACTCAAATCAAATTTTAGATAAGCACACATGCAAGTCTTATACACCATCTACTCACTTATCCTACTCTCTTAGCATCTGATAATGTATCAGCTCCAATGTTACCTTATCTACCATCAGTATTTAAAGGTTTAACATTTATTCATTTGGGAAATCCTTCTTGTACTCCAGATGTGTTAAAAAATTTAGTCAAACTACGAATTCTTGCTAAAGAGGTTCGTGCCATTCGTCGAATGTGTAATGTTGATTATGATTTATGCACAACTCTGTATCGTGGTCGTGATGCTGGTGGTGTCGGATATGCACGTATTAGTGTTAATTGAGGCGCGATTAAAGCAGGTCCTGCAGTCTGATCCATCAATCCGAAATCGTACTTTTCAAATCTTACATCGATGAATAACTACAGCCAAACGGACCATTTTAATAATAGTAATAGTGCTGGTTCATATTCCAATCGGTCAGAACATGATATGATTAAAGTGAAATTCATTCATTCAAATTCTCTTGATGATAGTGAAAAACAAAATGTGAGAGTCAACTTAATTTTGATGCGAATCCGACTAGTGTTTCGAGTGATTCTAAAGTTGGACGCAAGCGTCTACATCAACATGGGAATCCTACAACTCCCCTTTCAGTGAAAATTTCGAATATTGGTCTAATTTTTAAATTGATAAGTCGGAAAAAAAACTTATGAAAGTTGACTATTGACCACGATTTCGTGCGTATCCCGCTAATTTAAGAGTTACTCAAGATTCGGAATTGTTGTTTCAATTATCTGCACACACTGACCCTAATGGCAAAGATTGGAAAACTGTCAAACCCGCTTTTGTATCTTCAGTAGGAAATACTAGTATCAAAAAATCTGAATGCTCCCGCTAAAACATTTGTAGGCCATCTACACAAGAAACATAACTAACTTACCAAACCGAATTCGCCTAATAAAGTTGTTTGGAAGATATTTTTGGTTTATTTCTCATTTCCTTACCAGAGAACAAAAAAATATTCCATTAGCTATTATAGTAAGTGAAAGGGGGTTATTATATAATTAATCCTCTTGATATTTCTGCATAATTTTCCATTTTGTAGAATGAATCTAGTTTATGATTTACCTCGGATTTATTATATTGTTGTTTCCATCTATTCTTTGTAAAATCATTACTGCCTTACCGCGTATAAATGTTCACGTGCTAATAATCTGTTATCATCCGTATCATAAATTATATAATGCTTCATAAATAAACTCACAGATTAATTCTTTAGTTGTTTGGGGTGGAATGGGTTGAGGGGAAATAGAACATTATGTCTGAAACGTTTGACAGTTAGGTAAAAATAGAACGAGGTCATCTTATTTTTAGAATAAGCAGTGTTGTTGTCAAGATTTGGAGCAAGATAAGCGTTCATTTTACAGATGCATGTACACATAATGTATCGCCATTGATAACAAGCTATTTACGTCGTATATCATAATGAATCAATATAAAAAGTCTATTATTTTACCGCAATGAAAACTTTTTATCTATTTTATGCTTACAATTATGTCGAAATAGTAGTGCTGAAAATGAATGAAAAACATTCATCACAAAAAGTATTGTTTGAAAAAATATAGATTTCCAACTTAACAAGCATTTTATATAAAACAGTACTAAATGTTGTGTTTTGATATATATGAGGTAAATTATGCATCAACAATAACAACAGCCGAAAACTAAGAAACCTGACTATTTTGCATGATTATGCTAGTTTTTCATCTTACGCTCAACAAAGATTATTATCTGCCTCCTTCGACATAGAACTAAATAACATAATCTCAGCGATAAGAAAAAATTCTGCCTTACATTTCGAAGTTACATAAATAAGCTTAAAAAGAAATAAAATCAAAATTTTTCATTTTAGATTTACTTCTTTGTGGCTGCTAGAAGTTTCAGAGTTATGGTTTTCAAATCGTTTATGCTACAGTTAGTACTGAAAGTTTATATTATGGAATTTAAAAAATAAGTATATCGAAGTGATTTACGACTCAAAGCAAACCATTTAATAATATCAATCGAAAAATCACAGAAAGTTTTTGTTGGGCATAAAAGGGATTTTCGAGATTCCTACCGAACTTCATAGTTTACAAGTTGTTCTACAAAATGATATCGAATAATTTAACACAGAGAACATTTGAAATTACCAAGCCTTGTTTTGTCACAATTTGATTAAAATAATTAACGAAATCAGTTGAGGATTTTAATTGTTTATCAGTTTTCACTACACTTAGAGGTTTAGAATTATAGAAAAACGAATGAAGTCCTTCCAAAATAAATCATCGTCTGTAGGTAGAGAAGCCCTTTGATTGGTTCATTACAGCACAATTATATATATATATATAAACACGGAAGCGTCTTAAATATATTCGCACTAAGAAAAACATTCTTTTATTACCACTAAATTTAAAAAGCATTCTGTGATGTAAACATATGTAGAAATATAAAGTTTTTAGTTAAGTCTAATTGATGACGATGATGATATAATCATCAGGGATTGGTTTCAAAGTGTGAAACTAACCACATATTGACTGGATTCAATCCAAATTGTTCATGAATGAAGTTAATTAAACCACATCTCTTTAAACCATAATATCAATGATCATGTCATTTAAAAATATACAACAGCACACATAAATCTAAAGTCTAGGAAATTAATAAAATATAAAATAAATTCTTTACACGAAATAACCACTAGCTGATAAAAATTTGCATATAAAGACTTTTAAAATAAACAAGCAAAAAGTTGGAACCTATATTTACGTGTTGACGACAAGAAATTACTTGAACTAAAATATTGATGATAAACATACTACGTGACATAATTGTTCGTGATTCAAATATGCATCTACATATCACTTCACTTGCTATGTCCTAAAGAAAGATATTTTGAATTTTTTTCGGTGTAACTCAACAAGTTTCTGGTAGTTATACACTTACTAAACACACCGCTGACACCACCCTATATTTATAGGCATATATCAAAGTGTAAAAAAGAGATAAATATACAGCAAGAGAAGGGGATAATATTTTTTTAAAAAAGACATCTGTTAACCAGCTGGTTAGTGCATCTATGCAAGTTTAACTGGGTTTTTCTCCATATTAATTTTGTTAATTCTTCATGGCTTTGTCTACTTTTAAAAAACTATATGCAATGAAGTATTGGAAAAATAAACACTACATATTTGAAACAACACAGAACTACTCGAGTTTACATAAATTTTAGATGTATACATAAATGAAGAACGGGAATTTATTTATATTTACTTCACATATGAAACATAAATTATAATTATGACTCAATTTCTTGTATAGGCTTACTTATTAGATTTATTTATCATTTCCTATCCATATTTGGATTCAAAACTAATATGTTTATGTAAATATTTAGCAGAAAAATGACACAGAGATGAATGGTCAAAATAAGAGGTGAACAAAATATGAAATGGGATATATTACTTATGCATATGTACTCAAATATTTATTTGCGTAAATGTTCACATGTGGAGGCTTATGATCCAAACATAAAAAATTTGTTTTGAGAAAAGTGTCTGGATAAGAAAATTTATCATCTTGCATAAATTTTCACATATCTCAAACACGGTAAGTCTTGTTTGTATTTGAGTTTGTTTTGAACTAACTGAAGTGAAAAGTAATAATGACAAGTATTACAAAGCATACATTTTCAGATAACGAATAACGCATGAACGAAAATAATGACCGAGCTTATGTTTTATTCTGAATTAATTATCATTATATACTCATTCATATTAGGTACGATTTTTATATACTTCACTGAGTCCAAGAACAATGCAACATTCACCAAATAAAGACCAGGATTTCACTTTTTTGAGACTTCAAACCCAAATAATTTTCATATGGCATTTCAGTAATGCCTAAAAAATAAGAATATTTAGATGAATACAAGTCAAAAAAATTCTGAATGAAAAAAGAACGTACGGTACATACATATTGACATTTAATAGGTAACACAACATGACATCAAATCTAATGTATTAAAAAATAACTCCTGGAACCATTAAATATAAGTGAGAGTGTGGACATCAAGTTTTTTTGTATTTTGAAACGTACAACTTCGGATTTATTCATACCTCCACTATGTTTGATGAGTGGTTTAAACTGGATCATTTTTAAATTTTTTTAATAGTTTTAATAACTCCTAGTTATAGTTCAATTCAAGTGACACAATGCCTTTTGTCTTAATTTTTATCATTTTCCTCAGTAAAACTAGGCGATCTGTAAATATCAAAGACTAACACATCATATTACGACATAAATTCATTACACAATATGTCAAGAGGACGTAAATGCTCAAAGTTATGTACTTTATTAAAAACATCTTAAATAAATAAAAGTAGGAAACATGATTTACTTTGTGTAACATTTTTGTTGACATTGAGAAATAACAATTTTTCTGCTGTCATAAAAGCACTAAGACTATCAGGCTTCCAAGGAATGAAATCGATAGTGATAGCTAATTTGTGGGCTAAACTTAGTTTAAAAGGAATTTGGAAGAAGGGTCAGAAGAATTGTGACGTTCAAGATTATGTTTACCAAGAGTAACTATGAATTTCTTAGATATTGGTTTCGTTAACAAGCTTAAACAATCCTAAAGTGATTCACCAACAGTTGTTGAAAGATCTTAACCGTCTACTGCTAGTTATACCGCACTATTTTAATAAAGTCCATACTTTGTGCACTTTGCAAGTCCATCAATTGACTGAATTACATTAGCTCTAAAAACTTCAGCATTTATTTAGATACATCGGTAGGAAATTTATCGTAAAAACCAGGAGCTTATTACTGTAAAAATAAATACAAGAGATAGTTTCACCATGTGAGCAACATGTTTAAGCTTACTAGAACTAAGTAACATTAAATATTTCCCTTCGAATTATCGGTTAACATTTGTTCTATATGCCGAAGAAATAAAATTGGATAACCTCTAAAGATTCATTTTTTAAAAATATTTCTGGTTTGTCTTAAATTCCCAAAGCTAGAAATATATACACGTCTTTGCATGTTACTGGATTCCACAGTTGAATAATAGAAGAGGAAGATAGCAAGTAATGATAGTAACATCTGTTTTCCAGGTTTTAAAAAAATCACCTATGTATATTATATGCATCTCAAAGATATTTTTCAAATTAAGAAAGGAAATTAAGTTTTCCTTACGACGACTTTTATAATCTTTATATTATTTTTATATTGATAAAGAAAATGGACAGGAAATTAATCAACTTTTTACCCAGTCAGTGTATGAACTTATGATTTTGTGTCTACACATGTTTACACAATTACCTCACTGTTAGAGATGAAATAAAGCAAAAGAAAGCTATCGATTAATAAATACAATTATTTGTATAACAGTTTTGATAAAATATTTTGCAATGAATATCTTTTCTACTCTAAAACGTTTTGGTGAAATAATAAGATTTCATCTTTACAATATACTTGGACATTTAGTTATGCACAAACCACATGTTTGTAAAGAGTTGCATAATGAATACTAAGGTAACAATTTATCACAACGGCAGAGAGTTTTCTGTGCAGAAGCTACTCAGTCCCCCAACGGTTTCAAACGATACTGAATTCGAAACCAGTTCACGGGAGAAATACTGTTGTAATTTTTTATCGGCTTTTGTGAAATCGAAGAAGGTGAATTGCGCAAAACAAGTAGTTACGTATTTAGAGAATAGATCACAAGCATCCTGAGGGCCAAACAACTCAATGGAAACGTCACAAATGATGCTGGGTGATGCGTTTTCGAATCCCAGAAGGAGCATCAGTCCCCTCAAGATTGCAAGAAACTCTTCCTGACGATTGCCAGCTAGCACGAAACCCAGATCCATGGTTTCCAGCCTACAACTCCCAACCACTTACTATCACAAGTACTTTCCTTCACTTTAGTTGGAGACTGATAGGTTTTTGAGAAGATCAAGTAATTATATATTTCTGAGTAGACAGGTTTTAGCTTTCAAACCTAAGATAATACGTTCATTTTTAGAAGCAAAGCCATAGGTGACCATATTAAAGGAGTTATTAAAGTGGTGAAAAATATTGATAATTACTTTTTGAAAGTTCACCAAAGCTTCAGTCACATTATTGCAACAACCTTGGGTTAAAATTAGATATTTAATTACGTAAGTTGTTAACTAAGCTGAAATATTTCAAATCATATACCTAATGTCTTTAAATTATCACTTTCAAATGATCTCATGGTTACTTTGGCCAGGTTTTTCTGAGCATAGTCAAATCATTAATCCAAGCTTCGGTTTAATTGCTTAGTAAATATTTACTTTACCAACCGGCTAGTCATTTTCCAATGAACTATTATTTGATAGTTAGAGAATGTAAATTATAGATAGGAGACTATAATGTGATACAATAAAACTAGCTTGATTTGTTCTGCTTAGTTTGTCACTTCTGTTCTCTATATGTTCGTATATTTATTTTTTTATAAACAAATCAGAGATATAGTTACGTACTGCATTCATCAAATATTGTTGATGAACATAAAAATAACGAAAATTCTTTTTGTACAAGATATTTATTTATAATAAATTCAGGGATTCACAGTGTTTTGCCTTCGGAATTATTTTCGAGTTCATATACGATTTCTAATAAAAAAACATAAGTTGATTTCTATAACTTAGTTCCCTAAATTAACCAAAAAGTGGGACTTTCCAAATATCTTTATTTGTGTGCTGTAATTTACAATTGGAAAACTAGTTTTATTAACTTTTCCCAGTTTTCTTACATCCTATTGTTTCTATAGTATTGTATTTGGAATTACCTTGGTTTTTTCTAAATTAATGACCATTATAGAAGAAACGCATTCAAATAAATGGACGTAGAAAATTTCAGAAATGTTTTCTTGACGGACCGATACCAGTTGAAGAACCACTGAAGATAAGAAAGCACTGAACAACGACTACTTATAAACCAAATGATCTACATTACTAACTTCAATCCTTTGGTGACACAGCATGACCATAATCCAAATTAATAACTGTCTCACTTCCAACATGACTGAATGCTGTCACGATCATTCACTAGAACTCCAAAATTCCATTTTGAAATTAGTCACTAAATAATGTATGATTATCACTTACTTTGGTGTTTTACCAAAAACTAGTTCAATGTGAAAGATATTTAATTATTACCGTGAAATAAAATTTTTAAGATCAATTAAACACTGACAGTCGATCATGTCTGATTTTGTTCAAAATATAATCTCAATAACTCTTTTATCTGCTCTTAATGTACTTAAAAATCATTAGTACAAATATTAGTCATCTAAACCTTGAAGTATTTTACTTCAAAAGTATTAATATTTATGAAAATTTATAAGATGACTTAATAGTGCACCATTACTTACAATGTATCCAATCAAGGGTGAATAATATTCCAACCTCTATTGTTATTCACAAGATAAAAGTTCATGTAAATGAGGTACCAACACCAAGTTTGACTCGATAATTTCAAATAAATTGAGCATTAAGTAGAAAGTTAGTAACAAAATTAAGGGATATTTGTGGTATTCCAATGAGTAGAAATTTGAATTTCTTTTTTAAAGTTAATAAACCAATAGCTAAATCCGGTAATTTATTGTTTAACTGCTAACAAATGGTTTACATCAAGTCATGAAACGTAAGAAATTAAAATTTATACTCATTGGGATATCCCAGCTACATCATTGTTTTACTATTATTATTATTACCTCGTAATCTGCTGGACCAGGAAGTTGTTCTTTTTCTGTTTCTTTGAATCTCTCCGACTGATAAACAAACTTTCCTTTTTGAGGTTTAGTTTCCAATATATAATATTCTGCTGGACCTATTAGTGGAGACACATCATGTACATTTATTCACAATAATTATTAAAACACCCGAAAATAATTTTATCAACCGTAATATTTCGTTGTGATCACTCACTAAGAATTAAATCCACAACTTTTTTCTCTGAAATAGCATAATATCATATTTTTGATCCATTTTTCTCGCCAAAGTCACTCAATAGTCTTGGACTTTCTATTCTGTCAATAACTTATCTTGCTCTCTGCATATAACATAAAGCGTTCAAATAGGAAGTAGCTTCTGAGCTTCGTTCCTATTTCCTGATTTGTTTATCCAAACAAATTAAAGCGTGTAACAGTTATAATACATTCAGGTGAACTCGTTTTATTTCTTTTTCGTCATTTCCGACTCTGAATTGATGAAACACTTGGTATCGTCAAGCTATGAACTCATGGAAAACGCTACTACATATTACGATCATGGTATAAAAGGATTTCGAGAAATAATAAGCAAACCTAATCTGATCTGTGCTACTCATATGCACTGTATCTGTAAAATGAAATTTCGGAATATATAGCAAAACGAAGGAATTACTGAGAGGTCACAAATTAAACTTCACTATACAGACAAATGCAGTTGGATTTTTGAATTAAATATAAAACGACATACAATTAGAGCCTGGTCGAAATACATACAGAATATAATTAAATAAACCATCTATCAGAAAATTCCATGGTGCTCTTCAGTTTTGCGGCAGTGTAATAAGTTATGTTGTGCTAGCACACATTGTTACTTGTGAAAATCAGAACTTCAAGACTGTTACAACGATTTGACAATTAAAGCCAAAACGTCTTATTTATATTTAAATATAATCTTATTTTGTCTTATTTTATACTCTACCAAACCTTAGACGATGCACTCATTAGGGTCTGTCATCACTATTCTGTGGAGACAATATTTATTTATTTTTCTTTGATAGTCATATGCATTATAAAACCAGTTTTAGTCATCCAATATTTTTTATGACTTCAACATATTTACTCCTGAAAAACAGCAGGATGAGAACATGATTGCTTCTTTTTTACAAAATAACTGATCTAGATTGTATGTACAAAGGTTAGAAAACATAGTATATGAATTTCAAGTTACAATTCCTGAACACACTGTTAATAAAATACCATGTTTCAAGGAATTATTTTTATTGACACTATAATGGTCATGTAATATTCACATAAGAAAATGTTGAAAATATTTTACTAATATCCCTAATTTTTTAAGTACCACTGACTAGCCAGTTCACTTTTTATGGAAAATATCATAAAAACTGTATCACATACAACAGTACATTTGATATTAACTTTGAACAGATCTTCGAAAAATATTGCTTGCCTGGCATATCAGGGTCTTTTGGACCCAACTCAGAATGTCTACCGAATCTTTCTGCAGTATTGGAGAAGCAATTTCTTCTTTGCCTACCTTCTATAGTACGAGGTATAGCTGGGGTACGTTTACATTGTGTCACATCAAAAGATTTTCCAGAATCATATGTTCCGGGTGGGGGTACTGACTAAAAATTTGAAAACAAAGACAGAATAAAACATGGCATAATATTTCTACTTAAATATACGGATTACAGGTATTTACTTCGAAATCTTACTAAAATAACTAAGTTACTGGTACACGAGAAATTAAACAGTTCATGATATTGGTTGTCACACAATTACAATTTCTACTTTTGTAACAATCCCTACTCACTAAAAAATCAAACTTCTAATGACAAAAGTGTAATGCTAATAAACTCAAGAATATAAATATATTGTAAGTTAGAACTATATGCGAAAACCGTTTTATCAGTCTTAAAGGGATCATAAAATGTATCACCAGATGTTATTATACAATCTTCAAAATTGCTGGTTGACTTAACACAGAGATCGTGGTTTCGGTGACAGGATACACAAGTTCTACATCATATCTCAATAATCAATCAACTGACGACTCCCTCATCAGGTGATATTATTGGTTTGCCGATTACCGGTTTAGAGCTGATGCTCACCTACATTATAATTATAAATTAAGCAAGTGAAGGAGAACCATGTATTTCTCATCCATCCTCCAAAAAAACTAATTTATACTGACGGATAATAAATACTGAGTCCAATCAGTTTAATATCTTATCTTTCTTAAAAATTAGTGAAAAATTGAGAAAATCAACAGAAACGCTAATGAATGCCATTCCGTTATGTACTGAAAACAATTTTAAATAGTTTAATTAGATTCATCAAAAAACAGCTCTAGTGATTCATCCTACCGATTGAGGCATCGATAACTCCCTTTTAGCCTTCGGAATGCCAAAAGCTTTCAAAGTATATTTTCCTTCACATTTTTGTGGATTATACTGTCCAGGACCAGGAATGTCACTTAATCCATCGCTAGATTTTCTGCCGAAAATTAACTTATCATTCATACGTTTGGCTGTTGAGCCGAATCCCACACATTTGCTTGATTGTGAAAAATCTAGGCGACGTGTTAATCCATCATCAATATTATAACTATTTGGGGCTAAATATTAAAAACAAAACAAGCAAAGAATAACAATGTTGTAATGCCTTTTTTAGAGTAGAAATGCACTCTTTAAAATATTTTTGTAAAAGTAGCTCAATCCAGACCACATATGATCGATATACTGAAAATGTCAGATGAACAACATCTACACACCCAAACTGCAAATGATTATCAAGATCAGATATGTGTGACATTGGATTCACGTCTTGGAATGAGTAAAAACTGGATTCAGTAGAAAACACATGTAATCACACATCTACCATGCCTCAAATTATTTTGCGGCTATACACACAGTCTATGTAGGTGAAAATCGTTATAGATTGGCCTCATTATGATTACCAATGAAAGCCAGGGAGAACTGGACAACTGATTCATTCTAGTATGAAATTCCATAACACTTCGTACCCACAACCTCATTAGGGATCGAAGCCTGGACCTAAGGGTCCTGAACGTGCACTACACATCTGTAAAAACCATTTATTGTTAAAAAAATATCCATATTTTCTGAAAATGTATTATGGCATGATTTGTAAATTTTTACAAGTCATTTCATATGGTTTACATTTTAGAGCTTTTCCTTCAAAGTAGCATCACACCCTTCTTTATTTTTTATCTTTTTCAACAAAGACCATATGCTATTATTTTTCTGAAACTTCAATGCCCCGTTAATAATGAAATAGTAAATAGATTTAAGGTTAATGACTGTATTCTTATTTTATCTAAGCAGATAAATAACCTAGTCCAAAATGAAATTCTGTCTTCTGATTAGCTGAACCTGTGTGAGGAAAATTATGTTTTTTGTCCACCATATTGAGGTAGTAATTCTCTGGGATACTTACGCCACAAACCAAACTACAAAGTTTTATGATGACTATTGTACGATTAATATGGAACACAACTAGTAGTCACCACGTCAAAGCAGAGCATCTTTTCATTTCGCTTCCAACTGTTCGTTTGATTAGGGCAAAAGGATATTTTGATTTTAAGCAGGGTTTCCAAAACTATGTGAACTACTGGTTAAAAAGGCTTATTGACACGGTGGTAAATCAGTAAATTAATTATTTATCTTTATTTTGGTTTAAATCATGTAACCATCCCCAAATAATGTTCCCACTCCACAAATCTTATTTGCGGTTGTCTTATCTTTGATTATTCGTGTTAATTTTTCTATACGATGATGTAATAAAACTTAGGAATTTGCACCAATCAACTCCTTGAGAGATATTTTATGTCATTTTATTTGCTTGCCTGTACAAGCTAACAAAAAAGTCATGACTCCTGTTTAGAACAAATCCAGAAGACATGGAAAGTGAAACGTAATAGGCAACACGTATAATGTTTAGCAGAGTGAGGTAAAGGCTCAGTGATCGAAGTTGTAAGTTTTATGTCGTTTGGTTGAGGGCTTTAGTCTCCATCTACCCTGGTTTGAGGAGCTGAGAAACATCATCCAGTTTCATACAAAAACATGTACACTGGAAAGAAGTATAATAGTCTAAATTTGGTTAATAAAAGAGTTCAACAAGTAATTTCTTTCATATATCGTTATGAGAGAGGAACATGCTAAACTCTTTTTGAGAGGAAATGGCACAAAAATAGTTGTACAGTGATCATAAATTATCTTCTATGAAGGTGCAACTTAAAAAATTGCATTTCTGGGTACCCTTTTGTCATAAAGTTTTTCTCACTAAAATTAAGGAAGTATTCACACTTAATTTCAACGTCCACATGTTTACCATAGTTCTAGTTTATGGTACACAAACATCCAAAACTGATATCCGACTTTGAACGGTACATTATTTAGGGTTTCCAGATAGGATGCATAGTTATTAATTAGATATGATCAAATAAAAACGGAAATAACATCATGATCAACGAATATCGTAGTTGTGCGAAGCACACTCGCAAGATCGCAGCACATCTTCTTCTGAAACACAGTATTACCTGTCTATCAATAATAAATGAAAAAAGATTCTGGAACACCATTTTAGTTTAAAACCGCCGATCAATATATGAGCTTGAGGGCTATTCGCAACAGCTTTCATTATGGTGAATTGTCTATCTTAAAGAGATTATTGAAAATATTTCACTATCCATAACGTCCATTAAATACCATATGAAGCTATGTATTTAAGACTGATTTGATGACACATTAATAACATGGAATTCATTGTCTTTCATGAGATAAAAATTCATCTAATTATTATTACTATTTGAAACCGGTTAGTTAAATTTGATTAAAATGACTTGTTTTGGAAGTCAGTTTTTTAAGATAAAAAATAATGACGGTGTTTTCTCGATTAACAATAGTTTACCAGCTATTTTCTGACATTTGTTGCAATACGCGCCTGCTAATCAGCTTAAAATTTCAGGATAGTTGCGAAATAATATGACAGCTGACCACAGACTTTAGTTATAACAATATTCTGTATTTTCTTAAAACTAAGTTAATTCTCAGATCATCTTTACGACTGAGACTGTGGGTAGGGGTAAATGCTGAAGAAAAAGAAGAGCATAGAAAAGTTGCGTATACTAGGCTTTACAAAATGCCATAGAAATATTACTGTGATAATGATAATGATGACCGGTGAAAAGGATGATAATCATACCTATAATAATCTCTAATACAATAAAGTTAAGATGAAATATTACCCACACCCTATTTCTAACTAGTTTAAAAGATGACCCTATGTTTGAATGCATAGCAGGAAGCACTGCATGTTGTTGACATGTGGAATGGCGCCACTCTGTTACACTTACTATGTTACATATGTAAGTTAACCTTAAAAAATCTGAAACCTTGTTATGGCGCCATTACATGACACATACAAACAATATTTCCCAAAAGGCTAGTTATAAGGGTTACTTAAAATTAGAATGTTTCATCACTAGCCTGAAATACGCACTGTTTGTAAATCATTACTTAAATAGACATCAAGTTTATGTTATTTTGTAAAAAGGACTTTATATTTTGTCATCCCTTCATTTCAACTCCATAATTTCCTAATAACAAGAAACAGTAGTTACCGAATACTTCTATGTTCTGTTAGGCTGTCTAGGGAAATAAATGACAGACTATTAAAAATTTAAAAAGATTACTTCTTGTCAGTTGTGATTACTGAAATAAGCATGCGCAACAATGATATTCCGAAATATGTAAGTTATATTAGTATGCATATGTTTGTGCACCTATGAGTAGTCAGTTGCATGAGAAGAAAAAGTGATAAAGAGAAGCAGTTCTATTTAATGTCAACAATCATTTAAAGGTCATGATTTATTAAATTGTGTCGATTGATGATAAAGGCTTAATGATTGTTCATTTGTTTGGATTAGTCAGCAAGGTAGTAATAAAAATGTAGTTTTATTAATCTAAATGTGAATGAGTCAGTTATTTCAACTCTCTTTGTTATCCTTTGTATCTTATTGTAGTTTTTAAGTGAAATGAACGATGTTGTAATAAATTTCTTAAATTTTGGCTGATCACTTCGTGACCACTGAACTTTTGCAACCTGACATCTTGTTACAATTCGGAGGCACGAATTCATACGTCCATCGATTCACCAAAAGAATAGGAATCATGGAAAATACATTCACAATCCATCTTACTCATTGTGCTTTCATAAACGAAAAGATGACCAACGAGAGATTTTTCTAAATTTTATTTTGTACGATCAGATAATCAGAGTGTAAGTTATTAGTAGTTTAATACAATAACACAGTGAATACCAAGTTGACTACAAAAGATGACATCAGCAGTAATGTTGATTTTTAAATATTCTGCAGCAATATATTTATTTATTCTTCATATGGAACTTACATAAACATTGGATTGAAATGAAATATTTTGTTTTAGTACATTTTATGGATTCAATTCACTGGAAAGATCTAAAGACGGGCTTTAAATTGAGCATTCGCTCGTGATATCGGTTGTCTTCAGTGAATAGTATTTAATCCACTAAGAATCGATCCAGTAGTGGTTCATAGTTTGATTTAAAACTGACTCTATAAGACCCATCAGTGACCGAAAAACATAGTCATTGAAGTAATACTAGATTACAAAGTCTTAATCTATTTCTAGTTGTGCAAATTACTTCGCAATTTTTTCGCAACATGAAAAGAGATATCTCACGAGGCGGGATCGTGGGCGCGCACTGCTGATGACTCCCACAATAAGACGAAACGGCTGTCAAGTGCTTCCAGGTTTTCCATGGTGGTCTAGCTTCAATTGACTCATGATTTCAACTACATAAAATTACTAAAATCTCCACAAAACCATCTTCTAATAAAAAGATATTTGTTCATGAAGACACCAGCGCCATTATAAAGTGATGGATAATATTTGTCGAGACAATCGTTTATATGCACATTAAATGAAAATAATAAACTGGAAACTACTTTGTCAAGCGTAAACCCTTGATAACCTTATAAAGAATGTGTTATAGCACTCTTTCTGATGTACTTTCTTAAGTGTACGCTTTATATAAAAAAACCACTGTACCTAACTAAAAACAATATTAGGCACGTCAGAAGATACATAGCAACTTACTACTGATTTACTATACATAATATCCTGTTTAATCCAGAAATTTTCTTATTAATAAATAATGACACGAAACCTAACTAAGAACGAATAAACAAGACCACTGACATATGAAAGTAAAAACAAATATATTGTTCAACTAAGTAAGGCTTAGATTGATATATCAAAACATACAGCAGCAGTTATTCTATAAGCTTTCAAGATGGTACGTCATCTCAAGTTAGACCATTAAAATCTAACGCACGGAATTGTGAAGTTTAGTTCGTCAGACTTTAAACTATCTTTTTCAACAAACAACCGCATTCCATCTTATGTTCTCTGACGGGATATAAGTTTTATACTTCTTTCATTAAGATTTATTTGATAAAAAATACCTCCCGAGCTTGATTTAGTCATACATTTATCAAAAGATCCCAGTTTTAATGACTAAAAACAAGACCTCAATATATAAGAACACTGA